TTAAAATTAAAATTGGTCTTAATGAACATACTAAACAATTAAAGTCATACAAAAACTGGCACATTTATTAAAATTATTGATTTTTGAAAATTTGCTTTTAAAAAATACTCCTACCGGTCTGACGTGTTCGATTTTCAATAATGTTTAATGAATCCACTTCGAATACTTTTAACTACTCATAAATTAATTTATCTATCATGAATTAAGTCGATTATTAAAATTAGATTATTTACCTGGTATAACGATAAATGCTTGGTCTTAATGAACATACTAAACAATTGAAGTCCTACAAAAAACTGGCTCAATTTTAAAATTATTGATTTTTGAAAATTTGCTTTTAAGAAATACTCCGACCGGGTTGACGTGTTCGATTTTCAATAATGTGTAATAAATCCACTTCGAATACTTTTAACTACTCATAAATTAATTTATCATGAATTAAGTCGATTATTTACACAAATCGGGAAGTTCATTTAACTTGCCTCAAGGCAAAATACCAATACCAACTAGCTTATATCATTATCTTGTGGCATAACCAATATTCAAAATTTTTACAGGGTCTCAAATTCTACGATCTGTTTCATAAAATTTCTGCGACACTGATCAATATCTAAACACATCAACAATATAATTTCTATGAAAATACCTATATTGCTGATTGTTTCGAATGATCTAGTTAATCAAATTATCGTTCTTCTTCTAAAGGTATCACCCTCCTGTCCGATACTTGCAGGCAGTCAATATTAAACAATTTCGCTACCCCTGTCCGATTAATAGCCCGGCGCATGATGCGATCCGCGCACGAATGCAATTTTGCACGCTTTTGTTGTTGTTGAGCCTTCTCTTCTCTACACTTAGCTTCTCTTGACTCCCGCTACACCTTCAGTAGGAAAAAATAAATAAATGCATCATAATAAAAATATAATCGAGAGTGGGAACTAGCAACAGTCCAGACGTAGCGAAGAATTTTTGCTCAATGAATATTCATTACAGAAAGTCGGAGGTTTTCGCATTGTTTTAAATATGCATAAAATTATTAAGATTTATATTTTCATAGACAATGACTAAGGTGTAAATATAATAACGCTGTAATGGAAGTGTTGCAGGAGAGAAAATATTCATATTCCCATAGCATTACTTGTAATTGCGATGCTAATTGGAGCGGCTTTCAAGACTTTGTTGTATTAATGTTTTAGTTGCAGTATTTTAATTTATTTTTTATTTTATTTTTCTACTCTGTAGAAAGCTTAAGAATTAAATAGTATGTAATACAACTAGTTGTAAGTAGAATTTTGTCTTAAGGCAAGTTGCATGAACTCTCCGATACCGATACATAATTAATAAATAAGACTGAGAACTTATGATTTTCATTTCATCCATTTCGTGTTGTGCTAAATTTATTTAATTAAAATGTATTTTATTCAAATGTGATCAGTAGCTTTCCACGAAATACTCAGAACGTACATATGTTTCAGTAGGGATTCTGATTAGAATCGCATTGATGAATTTTTTAAAGTTCTATTCGTATGTCTATTCGTTTGCATTTATATGGATAAACAATGTGTCGTAGAAAGCTTAAGAGTTAAAAAGTATGTAAAAAAAACTAGTTGTAAGTAGCATTTTGTCTTAAGGCAAGTTTCATGAATTCCCGGATACCGATACATAATTATCTTAATAAATAAGAACTGAGAACTGATGAACTTCTTTTCACCCATTTCATGTTGTGCTAAATTGTATTTTATTTGATTGTGGGCGTCAACTGTGATCAGTAGCTATCTACAAAATACATAGAACGTACATGTTTCAGTACGGATTTTGATTAGAATAGCATTGATGAATGTTTATAATTCAATTGCTTATCGCTGGCCTTTAATAACTTGATGTGTTATTTCAGACTGCGAATTTTATCGGTATATAAAGTTTTACTAAAAGCGTCAAAATGCTTTATTTCATACTTAATTACAATCATTAAGTGTAATTATTACTTAATTACATCTTTACCATGTACTAATCAACGCGGTTTCCATCCAATATTTTTAATAGTGTTTGAATTTTTAAATCTCTCTCTCGCACACATCATTTTTTCTAAATTTAGTTTTGCGAAAAAAACTTTTTCTTCCGTAGCTTAATTAAGAATATTAGTTAAAATTAAAAATGTTTCAATACACAAGAGCAGTTTTCATTATTTTGAATAAATTGTATGTGAAATTTTAAATATTTCGGATGCATTGTTCTATTTTTATGATTAAAAACAAAGAAAGTGAATTTTTGCTCATTATTATGAGCATCTATGTGAAGAATGCGTGATCTATCATAAAAAATAGATTTCGTTTTTAGTCCATTTATTTAAAAACTCACGTTTTTATTAGCTTTTGTTTCACATATATGAAGATGAGCAAACTATTTTATAATTAAAATACTCTGTTGTGCAAACCTAGTTTTTTCCTCATATATATACATATTTAAATGATGAATACCATATTAAGCATTATTGTATTTTTTAAGTTATTGGCGTGGGTGATTCAATTGTATGAATGTAGGTAGAATGAAATACGCATTTGATGTCAAAAATGTATTTATCATTTTTAAATCTGATGTGTATACGAGGTGTGTTCAAAAAGTACCCGGAATTACTAATAATTAAATTTCGCGGGTCTGGAGTGTCTGATTGTCAAAATTTTTTTTATTGTGTTGGTATACATGCCCCTAAAGTATGATGAAATTTTCAGCTATATTCACTGTTTACTTTGTCTGTGGTAGTCGCTAAGGTTCGACGTGTTTTTCTGAGCTCGGCGATTTTTACAATGGAAGAATTGAAAAGTCAAAGAATTTGTATTAAATTTTGCGTAAAAAATGAAATAAAGTGTTGCAAAGTGCAAAAATTCACCAGATATGGCTCCGTGTGACTTTTTCCTATTCCCAAGTTGAAGAGACCCATGAAAGGACGGCGGTTTTCCTCGATTGAAGAAAATCGCTGAGAGTGCTCAAGGACATATCAAAAAGTGAATATCAAGGGTGCTTCGAAAATTGGAAAAAAACGCTGGCATAAGTGTATTATATCTGGGGGGGACTACTTTGAAGGGGACCACATTAATGTAGACGAATAAATAAATATTTTTTTGAAAAAACGAAAATTCCGGGTACTTTTTGAACAGACCTCGTATGGTGATTTTAATTACAGCTTTATGCATCGATAGAGATATCTATATATTGACAATAGTCAACCGATATTTCTATACCATATGAAACAATATGCAAAGTTTTTTCATTACATGTATGACTATATAGTTATGTCTGCATACTCTGCACTATCTGGTGGCACATAATTATCAGTTTCACACTGATTTTATATTTCAGTATTCCATTTACTGTATTTTTGTTAATTGCACAATGCATACATACAGTATTAAAGCTTCAATAAAATCTAGAAGTGACACTAAATGTTACCTTCTCGTGCTTACTCTGTGGTCAAGCTAAAATTAACATACTTCTGTGAACACGGGAGTGTGTGCTTGACCTGTTTTTGTGCGTCTTTCACACGCACGTCTCTATCAAATGTCTTCCGCAACTTGCGAGATCAAAAAAGCTTAAGGAGTTGATGGATACTTACTGTTGTAAGTAAAAAGTATTATCTTCCATTGAAGGCAATTGAAGAATCCACGAGCTAGTTGGAACCTAACAACAAAAAATTAGATTAATTAAAAGTTTCAATCATTTACTACTACCAATAATTATTTTTTTACTTTCCTTAATAACATACTTGATGTTTTTTATCAATTTTCTGTTCAGTTTCAATGTAGGAATGCGCCCTGCTATGAATCATTTTCTGAACATCCGAATAAAAATATTCCTTTACTAAATATTCAGGAACTCAAAAAAAAGAAAGGCAATGATAACCGATAATTTAAAAGTTTTACTTGACGCATACACGAAGAATTTAATCTTTTGTTTTTCATAATTATTAATTTCGTGATTACACATGATTGATGTTTTGGGTTCTTAATGACTGCGCCAAAAATCTTCAAATGGGCGTGGAACGTCAGGGATATGAATGCAGTAAAGTTTATTAGTATTTAGTTGTTATTATTAATGGATTAAATTATAGCTTTTGGATAATATATTTTGTTAAATATGTATTTTAAGATTTGAATGAGTTAGTACTATTTATTTGAACAGATTTCATAATAAGAAAACATTCTTTTATAATAAGAAATGTAAGGTTGCAACGAAAAATATCACATTGCAATTTTAAACAAAATATCATGTTTCAATATGTAGTTGATAAATTGTTTTGTTTGCATTGTAAGTTTGCATATAACATCAAATATTATGAATCCTAGTAAATACATGGAAATTTTATAAATTGTTAAGACCTGTGTGCGCTCTTATAGAAATACTAGAGTAAAACAATTAATTGTTGTTACCGTTGACTGTATTTTATAGTAAACGCACTTAACCACGAATTACCATACAATTAATCGTTGAAAACCTCGTGTAATTGTATACAAATTCTATAAAAAATGCTATGGTTTTTAATATTTCGACATTTAATTTTACGGTAAGCATATATTCTATTTCATACGTTAATTTTGTTCGGAGAGATGGGTTTTGAAGCTATTCTTCTATTGTTTGCACGTGACAGTATAATGAGACGAAGTATAGTCACATCGAGAATTTAAGTACTCATTTCTATAGGAGCAAATAATTTATGATGTTGTTTTGTTTGTCGTATTATATTTTTCTTTTTTATTCTATATATAAACTCGGTGATGTATGAATTGTGTGTTGAAACAAGTTTAAGAAAAACGATAATATTAGTTTAATCGACCCATGCTTATAAATAAATTACGAGTTGCGATGGTGTTTATCATTGAAGATAATTACTTTGATTATGAATTACAACTATTTATAATTAAATGATTTTAATAAAACAAAAAAATAATATTGTAATAATATTACTCATTATTTTAATAATATTACTAATTATTATTTTTATTGCAGGCGGAAGCTGTAGATGTAGATATAGATGAACTTCTCGATATGGCCAGCGATGAAGTTCGTAAAGCTTACCTCAATGTAAGTTTATTTACTTATCCATTTATATTTTTTTATATTAAAATGCTATTTTACATAATATGGAACTATAAATTTACATATTAATTTAACATTGTGGCAAGCAAATGCTGATATCAAAAAATACTACGAATTAATTATCCTTTACCATATCAATTACATTTTATACTCGCATATAAATTCTACGTGTGGAATTAGTTCTGCGTTCTGTACGATACTTGTACCTTATTAAATGCAATTTTTTTTTGAAAATTGATAGACAATTTGATTTAATATTTTTATTACTTAATATTTATATTATTTATACATTTATTTATATGATTCATCATATACTTTTTCAAAGTTCTGTCGCTTGCGGTATGCATAAATAAACTTTGACGAGATCGAGATATTGTATCAAAGAAGTTCTGTGAATTTTACAAATTCTTTGAAAGCGAACTCCACAAACCGATTATAAATGATAAAAAAAGGAATACAATATTGTTATCGCATTTCCTTCAGATCACCGGAAATATCGACTGTAATCTATAATCGCTATTTGTCATTGTCAAGATTTTGCTTTTTTATACAATTTTTTGACCAGTTTCAAGAACGTCGAGGCTCTGTTGAAATGCAACTAAAAGTTAAATAATAATTAATATTCTTATTTGTTCTCGATGTCCATTAAGATAAAATTTGTACTAGATCAATATTTAATTTTATGTTGTTTCACTTATTTCATTAGTACTCAAGTTAATTGAAAATAATTTATCTATTTTTAATGAAATATAAGTATATTATACTATTTTGAATTATATCTACTAAATATTATTCAAAATAATATAACAATCTTAGAAACTCAATTATGTTTATTTAATTTTTTAATCAAATAAAGCAAAATAATAATAATTAGTTCTGATGTCGATTGTAAATTATGATTGACTTTTTTTAAATTCATTTTTTATAAATAAAAAAAAGTCATGATTGACTTTTAAGAAGCCATATTTTAATTAGCAGTACTTAATAAGTATTTACTTTTAAGTTGCTTCATTTTATTTTCATCGATAATTAACAAAAACGAATTTAAATACATTACATACCATGTATTACTAGTAGCAACGTTTTAGACATTTTTTTTTATGTTATTCACTTTGTTTGCATTTATTTCGTCGAAATGATTTTTAAAACATTATTATTTTTAAATAATTTCATAAATGTTCATATTAGTTCTAACGATAATTATTTAATATTGTAAATTGTGCACTAGACAAGACAAACAAGGGAAAACTTTAAAAGTATTTGAAAGAAAAGTCAATGAAAATTTAATTGATTATTATGGTTTTTTCTAATTTTAATTTATGATGTATTTTTTTATTTATGATTTTATTTTATCTGTGAATCAGAATATGATATGAACTTACATTCTATCATGGTCACTATTACTGATTTTTGTAATTGTGATCAGTATACTTTTTTCACAAGTCTTGAAAAATTTTTTTTATGTTTCCTTTTACCATATCAACAAATATAATATAAAACGAATTATTACAGGAACTGTTAGCCGAGTCTAAGAAACCACAGAAAGAAATAAGCGTGAGTATTATTTTATTATTAATATACAATTTTCTGCTTATTTTCTATAAATTCTCGTTTCTGAGGCCACCTCATTCATATTCCTAATCGCGTTAAACGTTTATTTTTAGACAAATGGATCGTAAAATGGGTCCCATATAGTTCGAAGCCGTAATTTGCATATATAATTTTTTTATGGCACAAAAACTGACTATTGATTAAATCTTAATTTATATACGAGTTTTGATTCTGTATAATAAATTATCTTCGTAATGTAATTGAATATTTCTGTGTCAGAAATTAATATATTTAACTAAATATTTTACTATTCATTTACAATTCTTTTCAATCATAGATTGCAGATTTTATTGTTGAATTTAAATGAACTGTTCTAGATTATTCCTTTAAACATTCCTTTAAATCATTATATAATGTCTTCCATGCATCATGTCTTCAAAAGTAAAATAAAATCAAGTGTGTTAGCAATAAAAATCTGGATTATTCCAGAACCAATATGTATCAATTTATGAAGAATTAGTTTTTATAGAAACTAAAATGTTTTTTTCCAGTATTTACTTCATTTAAGTACTTCGTGTCCTCAAAATACGAAAAATATTTACATAAGTTATATTTATTGATGAAACAAAGCAAAACATGTACACGTAAAATAAATATATTACGTTATTGGCAAACAGCTCTCACGTTATATAATATTTTCCAATCAGTATATCCTGTAAAATATTATTACTGTGTTAACCAAAAAGAGCATAGTATAAATTAGTTTAATTCTATTATTTTAAATGAGAAAAAATTGAACTAATTATAGTAAATAATTTAGCATCATTTAAGCAAAAACGATTTATGCAGATACAATGTAAATTAAATAAAAATGTATTATATAATATATCTGATTCAAAAAATGGACTATCAATAACAAGATTAATGAATTAATGATCCGCATCACTAGAAAGTGCATTAATTCAGTGCTCCTAAATATCAAATGAACAATAAATAATAAATCATCAAATTTATCATTTCTAATGTTGTAAATTATTTTGATAAGTTCACTCTCGTAACGCGAGGAAAGTGAGTACCTATTACTTCAGATTGACGACTTTGTAGAATCGCATTTTTATTATGAGCATTTTTCGTATTTATTAAGAATGCAGAAAATAACAATCCTTTCTATTTTTAACGGTAGTTGAGAACGGCATCTTGCCATATATACCTATATGTCTCGAGTCGAAATATTCGATCGATAATCTCCAATGTCCGAGTTTTAGGGCATTTGGCGCCAACCGTTATTTATCTCGGGCTCGTGGATCCACAGAATTGTGCCAGTATTAAATAAAGCTGTTTTGTTCGATTTTTTTATCTTTTGCACCAGTTACTCAACTTGTGTGCATTATTAAAATGCAATTACCTTGAGGTAATATTGAAAATTTAATTACCTTCAAATAGTATTTTAACGTAATATTTAATTACCTTCAAATAGTATTATTTACACGTGTAGTTGGTAATTAGAAACATTTTTGGGCAAATTATAAGCATCATTATAATCTTATGGTTTCATAATGAGAACATTATTAGTACATGTTACTGATTAATGTTACTAATTAGTTTCTACATACTTACTTTTTAATCTCATATAATACGATTTGTTAACCACTTAGCATGCAGTAATATAGTAATAAAAATAGCAACCACACTTTAACGAATTATTTGTCGTTTACTTTGACAACATTCTGACTGGTGTTCAGAAAAAGCGTAATAATATTATTAGGCTGGAAACTAAGCTAGTGCGGAGAAAATCGGTCATTTTTTTATGGAAGTAAATGACTTCATTCTGAAATGCATTGTCCATTTTGATCACTGACTTTTTATCATACTTCTTCATTACCCCACTTTCATAACTCTTCTAGTTTTGTTTAGCAGAATTATTATTACATAACTGAATCAGGTAAAATTTGACACCATCATATTTTTTTTATTAATTTACCGAGTCTTGTAAAGTTCCAAATTAAAAATAATCATATGGTGTGAGGTCAGGACTATATGATGGATAGATGTGGCAAAACATTCCAACCAATCTCCCAACATCTGCAATCATTTTTGCAGTGTGTCTAAAGATATGTGATGTCAATAATGGAATAAATCACAGTTTTGATTTGTTAATGTAGGCCGTTTTTCTTCCAATATTTCGTTACTTATTCAATATAGACATCAGAATGTATCGTTTGGTTGGATGGTAAGAGGAAAAGTTGATAATTTCTTTGTCATCAACTCCAACTGTACTGCCAGAGCGTTTCTTATTTTTGAGTGAAAAATTACCGAAACCAAACTAATTTTGAGATTGCCATTTTTTTGGCTTCGTTACCATAAATTGCTCAAAACTTTGTGAGTTTAAGATGCCTTTTCAACTTAGCAGAAATAAAAAACCAAAATGTGACAAAAATTTTCATAATTGTCCATTCTCCAACGCTATACAAAAATTAAGCAATCGATCAAAAAATTTTTTTACTTATCAAAATTGTCTACTATTCTTTAGCAAAAAATTGGACTACTTCATCAGTAAACCATCTAAGTTGAAAATCGCACTTACTTAGTTCCCAACTTAATACACAAATGAAGAAATAGCTCAAGAGTTGTATAGCTTAAGATAAAAAGAATCAATTATGTGCATGTGAATTGCATTGGGGTCTATCAGTCTATCAGTCAATTTCTGGGTAGTTCGATTTTCCAGCACAGGCCACACGCACGTTGTACGGTATCATCTAGCAATAGACATAAAACTAAAAGTAACGATGAAAAAATCGCCCATTAAATTGACCGCAGAACACACATTTAAGAAACACAACCGATGCGGTTTAAGTGTCATCAGATCATAGAAACCTGTTTCATTAGTCGCCCGAGCACGCTTTGTTTTCTAGGATGGCGGACTAATATTGATCTAACATCATATTATTTACCATTTAGACATCGCAGCTGGTGGGAAAACCGCAGAAGGAAAATTTTCTAATTTTGATCAAACACCAAAACCAACTAGTGGTGTATGACATCGTGCCTTAAGGCAAATTACTGGAACTTCTCGTACCGTCATTTAAAATCTTTGTACGGTTCCCAAAAAAATTACACAAAATGTGTACACATTATGAAAATCTCTATAAAATATATGAAAATTTGATGTACATATGTCCAATAAACATTTTTGACTGTCAAATGACATTTTTTAACTTATTTTTATTGGGAGTCTATAACCGTTGGGCCTGCCTTCCCAATCAGTTTTTCATCTTTTCAATACAAGTAAAATGTTTTTTGAATTATTAAAATCGGACGCTCCGTTCTCTTAAAAACTGAGTTACCGTTTTTGGCACTTTTTGCCCTTCTTCGGAAAGGCTAGACCTGCCTTTGCCAAAAACTAATCAGCACGTCTCCTTATCAATACGAATCGAATGTTTTTTGAATTATTCAAATGGGTTGATCGGTGTTCTCGAAATTGTCAATGAAAATTTGTATCCGCACACACACACATACATCTATGTTTTCTAAGGTATACCAAAATGTTCAGAAATATCTGAAACTTTTTTCAGTACTACGATTTTGTTTTTACATATATTGAACGAGCAGCAAAAAAAATTCTAATTTTGATCAAACACCAGTACCAAAAAAAATGAAATTGGCTATTTTTAAATAACTTAATAAGTTAACATTAATATTTTAATTAAATATTTTTTGAGCACTATTATTTCGCTTTTACACGATGAACCGACTTATATAAAAAAATCCCTTTTGGCTAAAATTCTACTCGATTCATTCTGCTATAGATATTGCTAAATAATATATGTTTGCAATATTATTTATTAATATTTCAATATAATTTATATAAATTATATTAAATAACTTCAATACATCAACGAAAAGCACATAACTTTTAATTTTTAATTATAATGTAGTTCATGTGATACAAAATTGTTTGAACAATCCATGTTATTTTCTATGTTGCATGTATAATTATGAAAAATCTTGTAAGTAAAAATTCGTTTTTTAATTATCTTGTTTTCATCTTTCGTTCAAGACTATTTTCACTGTTTTGAATGGAACGTATGTAAAATCATTCTTGTGTGAATGAAAAACTTTCCTTTTAGAGCCATTGCTTGTTATAGTAGCATGTATAACAATATAATTACATTTTTGTTTTTTACCATATTTAATAGATAACTACTTTAACGTGCACTTAAATTCACATTAATAAAGTCATTATTAGATTAAAACATTTTTTTTTATTTTTTGTAGGTAATTTCACAGAAACGTTTTGTTAATTAAGTTTAATTATTTTGATCGCATCAACAGAGATATACTTCATATATCCTACTGCACTTTAAAATAGTGAAATAAATTTCAAACACTTGAAATTTTAGCTTTCAAGCCTCATGACATTAAATCTTTGTACTTGCAAGAAATTAGCATTAATGTGTTAATTATTATGCAAGATGAATATATGTATGATCAAGTAAAACAGTGCGTGATTTTTGGAAGTTATTTATTATAAAAATACGCATTAAATGCATTTAAATTTAAATTATAAATAATTTTTACACAAGTTAAGGCCATTTTTAATTATAATCATTATTTCTTACACATTATTACATCTTATTTTGGCTTTTAGATAGTTAAATCTTTTCTTTTTAATTCAACTCTAAAAATTACACCATTTTGCTTCACGCATTTTTATTATTATATGTAATAATTTATAGATTTATATACATAAGTTTGTATATATGTATTTATATTTCTAGAAACTTGTGAATAATCATGTGCCATATGCATAATCATTTTTCACAACAATATATCATTTTTATTATCTTCTGATTTACAGTTAAATCTTACTTATATAAATATTGGTTTATCAGTTGATTATATTTATTGGACCACATAAGACGAACCAGCTTGTAATGAGAGACTTTGTGGCAATATTACATAAAAATTTAGATTTCGATAATTGAGAATATGAAATGATGATGGAGATTGACGATTGATGGATGACACAGTTATTGATAAACTCTTCTTTAAAAGGTCAGAATAGTCTAAACGATTTTATATCGAGATTTTTTCTTAAAATATTACAATTATTCAGTTACTTTTGTTATTTCAATTTGTTGATATGGACTGAGTTTGAAAATCATAGGTAACTAGTAAAATTCATAGTAACATCTACAAATCTACTATGTTTACAAACACTATATTTAAATACTGATTTTTCTGGAATTAATGTATGACACTATCTCTTTTGCTAGAAAAAGCTCAAAACTCATACAAACATTTATATACTTATTATGTTTACAAAATCTTTGGGTCCTACGCTGTCGCATAACAGACAAATGTTATGGCAAGGCCATGTTAAGCTCCAACTTCTATACATTATACTACTGAATCATACTGAATACTGTCAAAATGTCTTCTATTTGCTGTGGATTCAAGCGTTTTACACATAGACTGCAACGTCACCCGTATATTATGAACCTAAGTCAGAAAGACCCTGTTATCTAAAATCGTTTTTTATGACAACCTGACAAAATCGCATGACTTGTGTCAATATTTAGAACTAATTTGTATGGAAAGTTCTTCATAACATAGCCTTGCCATAATATTGATCTGTTATGCGGCAGAATTGGTCCCTATATTTAATTTATTAAGGCAATCGCAATGCACTGGATAGTAGTTCAAATTTTGGAAGCATTTCTTTATGCTAACCCCAATTTAGGAATTCTGGTTCCAATACTCGTTTCTCTATATCTTCTTGAAATCCCACAGCCTAAATAATTCATTTCTCATTCACCTGATATTTTTATCGTTTGTTTATGAAATAAAATTGAGTAAATTAAAATCCAACTGTCTGTTTATTCTCATCATGGGTGTCTCTTGCACACATATTAGCTTATGAATTTATGTCCTCGTTTACCTCATAGCCGGTGTTTCCGCCAATACAAATCAAAATTATGCGTCGCCTTTAGTGTGGCGATTATTGCCGGCAAAAATTAAACACTTTGATCAAGATTTATTTCCAAATGCGGTTTTTGAATAAAATTGGAATTGCTTTATGACGGATGAGAGGATAGTGATCAGATATTCAAAACCGCACATGGGGTACGAAAAAGTTCACACCGGATTTGATTATGGTGCTTTATATGGTTTATATATTATTTTATGTGAAAGGGTTTCCGGCTATGGTAATTTTTGTTGTGTTTGTAAAGCAAAAGTAATGCTATAAATAACTGTATTTATATTCTTAACATAATTTACCTTATAATATTTGTTTTAATGTTATTAATACAATACAATATTCATTCATTAGGAATTTTAGTACATTTTTTAAAGAACGGGTTTTCGAAGTCAATCAATTTTGAAAATTTTAAGATTATAGTTGGACAAAAAGTCTTAATTCTTAAAAACTTAGCGCAATTGTGTCATTATTTTTGACTGTGGTTCTAAAAATGTTATTTACGATTTAGGTTTCAAAATTCAAATGAACAAAAATAATAAGATACTAGTGGGTTGCATGGCATCGTGCCTTAAGGCGAATTGCAGGAACTTCCCGTACCGTAATAAAAAATCTTGGTACAAAACCCAAAAAAAATTACACAAAATATTTATACATTATTAAAATCTCTATAAAATATCTAATAATTTGATGTACATATGTCCAATGAACATTTTTGACTGCCAAATGACATTTTTTTAACTTTTTTATTGAGAGTCCATAACCGCTGAAACTGCCTTCCCAAAATCAGTTATTAATCTTGTCAATACAAGTAAAATGTTTTTTGAATTATTAAAATCGGACGCTCCGTTCTCTTAAAAACTGAGTTACAGTTTTTGGCACTTTTTGCCCCGTATCTTCGGAATGGCTAATCTTGTCTTCGCCTAAAACTAATCAACACGTCTCCTTATCAATACGAATCGAATGTTTTTTGAATTATTGAAAATCGGTTGATCACCAAAGCCCTGGGTTTCATTTTTTTTTCTAGTTTTTCATGACGGTTACAATCAATATTCGCATGATTTTGAATTCTTGGTAGTCTATGTTTATGATGGAAATACGTAGATAAGATGGGAACCCCCCGATTTATGATCAGAACTAAATTTTATATGTGTATTTAAAAAAATAATATTTTTGTAATTTATTACAAAAAAGGCTTTTTATAGCATGTTTTTAGCACAGTTTTTTTTTTCATGTAAAAGTAAATATTTCGAATTACACGTTTTTTTATGGAGTCTATCTTCCGTATAGATAGGTGTAGGAGGATAGGTGTATTTTCCTAGTAACTGATTGAGGTGGCCAAAATGTTCTATCTTAAGAATAAAATTATATATTATTTAATTATTTTCAGAGATTCATCAGCGATCTAATGGATAGAGCGAAGACTTTGTAACTTTTCATCGATCCGTCGTTCACAATTACTCGTTATCATTTCGCGTAGCGTTTAGTGCAACCGGAAAATTATGAAATCCGAAAGAACGGCAACTGGAAATCCGTTCTGGAAAACTCTTGCCAGCCACACACATCTAGAGATTAGTACCCTGTCTATGTTTTGTATAGATAATTAATTTTATTTAATTAAGATTATTTTAGGAATTTATTCAAGATGACGTACTCTATTCACACATTCTTGACATGTTTGACGTGATACATAATTTAGATGCTTATTGTTATAAACATTATCAATTTGATATCGGTACCAGAGAAAATACAATTGTAACGATTTTTTTATTTATTGGTGGTCACGTGTCAATCTTTGATTATGCGTGGCAATCTTATCTAATTATCAAGTACTTTGTCAATATGTACAACACTATTTTAATTTAATTTAAAACATTAAAATGTGTGAAACTTAAACAATTATTCGGTTTCAAAATATAGTATTCACCATCGATTATTTCGAGTTTTTCAAAGATGAATAATACCCAGTATTAAAAAATGGCTATGATATATTATAGCTTATATAATTGCAATAATACACGATTAACAATTTTGTATAATCGATATAATAAATGCTAAAAGTACCCAATGAAATTAAGCCCCTGATAGTAATTTATACTCTCTCATAGATAAAATAATACAGCTTTTATAACAATAAATTTTTCATAACAGTAATTTAGCAATAAAAAAGACGTGTTACAAAAATTTGTAAAATGTAGATGCTTTTATAATTTTTACAAGATTTTTAATCAAGATTGCTCGAATGAAATTTATACCGAATTTTATACTTACCAAAAATACACCAAGCTATGATGATTGTTAGATGTAAGTTTTGAATATTCCCTCTAGCTATAAAGTATCTATAAAGTAGAGACTTGATGATCCGAATATATATTAATCCAAAAACTTACAATTTTTTTAAAAAAAGATGGTATCATCTGAGTCGAACTCGCGCTGCAACACATTTTTTTCTTCCTTTGCGTGATTATTTATTTAAAACTTTATTTGGTTTTCAATTCGGATTATCGAATGCTGTACTTCATATTTTGTTTATGATTTAAGATCTCTGTGTTTTTATTTTACAAGTTCACGATAAGTAATTATTAGTAATCATATATTAAAATTACTATTTCTCTTATATAATTATAATCAATTTTCTATAAGTTTATTATTATTTAACTATTCGACTAAATAATTTCATATCAATAATCGTGTACCTAATTGTAATATTTTAAACTGTATCTATTATAAAAATATCATGTAGAATAATTAGACTTATCATATCAAAATGGCCTATAAATGGCTATAAAATTAAAGCGAATATTTTTAGCTATAGAGGACGTTGCATTCGTCGAAAAACGATTTATTTTTGGGTTTGTGCAAATCATTTTAAATTAATTGATGTTTATAATCCAAATCGTATTCATCACATAAACATTTATTTAGGTTTATCATTTGGAGATACATGTTGCATAATATACATACTAATTTTTCATGGCAGCATAAATGCCTCTGTACTTAAAATTCAAGTTGACTTACTTACTCAATTAATTAATCTAATGTCTACATTGATTAATTAATCATAAAACAGATGTATTAATTAATGTAAATTTATGCCAAAGCTGTTACAGTCAATAATAGTTCTGAAATTATTGAGCATTTACAAATCGACAGCGGAATGTTTTTTATCTTAGTGTAGAAAAATATTAATTATTAAGTTTTGGTTTGATCAGTTTGGTGCTTTTTCATCATATGTATGTATGTGTATAGGTATACCTAATTATTTATGTATATATATACATATATAATATAGCGAATAAATATGCTTAGTGATAAAATACATTTATGGTGATATGTATAATATCCGTTAATATTAATTTTATTTTATTTAATATTAGTGATTTTTTATGATATTTGATGTGTTTGCTCAACTAGCGGTTTTTGATATATCATCATTTTGCTAAAGATAACTATTACGGATGTTTGGAATTTTCAAAATTTTACAGAGAGTTTACTTTTTTGACTTGCAAAATTATATTGGAATTAATAGAGTTTTCTTAGAGTAGGTGCTAAATTTTTAGGTATGCCTAATATTGATTTATAGAAATCATTTATTTATTCAAATTATGACCTTTACCCGAATTTGTAATAAATGTACTACAAACTAAAATAACGTGTTGTAATTTGTGTACGTAAACTATTTTTCGAAAGCTTACAGCATTTGTACCAAGTCAAAACAATATTATGTAAAATTTTGTAAAAATGCTTTTTAATGTTATCAACAGTATAAAGAGCAATTTTAATCATGTTACGTTTGTATATATATATATATATATATATATATATATATATATATATACATGGAACGTTTATGTATTTAAAATTATTACCGCTAATAAGAAGGTGTATTGACAAATCACACAGAGCCTATAATAAATTATGAGATGACGTTATTATTGATATTTTATCAAATAGTGTCAAGTACAACGATTACTCAAGAAATTGACCCTACCCACAATTATAACACTGAAATACAATAATGTCATTATTTGCTTGAAAACGAGATTTATTTACATATAAATTCTACGACGACAACTTTCTTATATAATTCCTAAAATCGAAGCAGTAAAGTGCGTATTTCGCTTGCGTCAGAAGATTGCGAGAGACTTGAATTTAAATTAAAGTTTACAAAGCATTCAAAATTATGGGCTGCTCTATAATTTTTTCAAATGATAAGAGAATTTAATCGAACATTCATGATTTTTTAATGAGCAACTATTCACATGCATTTCATTATATTTTATTTCATTTAAACTTTAATAAATTAAAATAGAAATTAATCTATACAAATTAATCTATATTAATGTTTAAACTAACAATAAGCGGATTTAAAAAAAAATAAGATTATACTATTAGGCCACTTATTAAGTGCGGATTTTGTCTTTGAAAAATCAAAGATATTTTTTTAAGAAAATTTATGATGAAAATGCATTGTCCATTTTCAAAAAAATTCTAGTTTTTATATAAAACTGAAATATGAACAATTTGTCAATATCATTATATTTTTTTTTTAATTTGTGAAGATCGAAACGGAAAGTCATATGGTTTAAGATCAGAACTACATGGTGGATGTAATAATGAAATAAATCACCACTTCAATTTGCCAATTCAGATCCCACTTTTCAACTTTATTGTTTAGTTCTATTAGTTTAATGTAGACATCAGAAATGATTGTTTGATCAATTATTGATCGTATTATTGATAAGTTCAAAGTAGATGATTCTTTTTGATCAACTTCAACTGGACGACATGAGCGTTTTACATCTTTGAGCGAAAATCACCAGAAAGAAATTTGGCAAACCAATTTCGATACTTGTAAGCTTAAGATAAGAAGCCTTTTTACTTTGCAGAAATAAAAAAGCAAAAATAAGACTAAAATTTGATTTGATTTGCCATCTTTCAACGAACCCCAAACGAATTAAAAAAAAATTCTTCATTGCAAGAATATAAATAATTATATTTTTGCATTATTTCTTTATATCAGAATATTAAGTAGAATCTTTTTCTTTAATTTATACTTGTTTAAATTGTGAACTTGCATAAATAAAAATATTTTTTAATGCGGCTCTTACGTACTGTCAATATCTCCGAAATTAGAAATTGCTTCATAAATATTAAATAAATTTTGATTATAACATTCATAATATCAATTTTTCAAAAGGTGTTAGAAATATGCATATTTATGCTATATGATTCATAATTATCAAATCAATTTAGCAATAATATTTTCCATATAAACAGTCAAGTGTTATTGTTCGTAATGATTCACTATTAATTTATTCAATATCTTCATTTTACAAAATTTACAGATTTAAGATTTATGATCAGTCTATGCTAATACAACGGCGAACAGCCTTCATACGCAACGCCAAGGACGCCAGTTCAATCCCCGATAAGCACACACTATTTGAGAACTAGAATATATATATAATATATATATATATATTATATATATTATATATATATATATATAATATGCAAAAAAATACCGGTATACGGATATGCTGAAAATTAAACAAATACTTCCATCAA